CTCCATAAAGAGGACCTGTCATTTTTTTCTAGCTATTACATTGGAGGATTTTTAGCCCCCTATGTGATAGCAATCAAGTTAAGTGTAAAAAAAAAAAAAAAGTTTTTGAATAGAAAATGAAAGTCTCATATAAAAAAAAAAAAAAAACACCCAAAAAAGATTTAAGTCCCTCGCCCCTGCGCGCACGCACTTATGCGTTTGGGTGTGCCTACGTGTGAAAACAATTATTACGCCACACATGTTGCATATCATCGCGTACACCGCAGTGAGAGCAATAATTCTATGATCATCAATCACTGATAACACTAAAACGATGAGCGGTAAAGGTTTTTAAAGCGTCGCCTATGGCCAATTTTAGGCATGGTAGTTTTTTGCGATTTTGTGAGCGCAACCAATTTTAAAGCTTGACATGTTTGGTTTACCCGACGTGACTCCGTCTTTTATATTTTGCCAAAAAATTGGGTAATAATAAATGTTTTATAACATAACGTAGGGAAAACAGTTTTTTTTTTCCAACATTTTCGGTCCTTTTTTTAATATATAGTAAAAAATAACCCCACCCCCCCAGTGGTGATTAAATACCCCCAAAAGAAAGCTCTATCCGTCCCTAAAAAATGGTATAAAATGAATTTCAGTACAGTGTTGCATGACGGAATAAATGTCAGCCAAAGTACCGCAGTGCTAAATACTGAAAAATAGCCTGGGCAGGAAGGGGGTTTAACACCCCGGTCAGCAAGTGGTTAAATAAAAGATGGTACCTATTTTTTTTATCCGATTAATTGATTAATGGAAAAAATGATAGGCCAACTTGTGAATTATGAATATAATCGTTAGTTGCAGCCCCACATGCACTATGCCAGCCCATTGAAATGAATAGGAAACACACAAAAAAGGCATGTGCCATCATTGAGTTATGGGCATTTTGAAAGTATCTGCAATACAAACCCCCGCCCCGCAATGTTTTTAAGCACCACACCCCTGGGTTGAAAGTGTAAAGTGTATACATATCTCAAATGAAAAGACATTTTTATTCAGAATTGTCTTTTGGCACCATTTGTGTCAGTCATTTAGGAACAGAAACTAAAAACTAGCTCAGTCATGAAGGGGTTAAAATTGCTTAAAAAAAAAGTGCAAAATCATATTGCATGACCGTTTGATGTTCTTCATTGTTGGATGGAGTGTTTTATGTAAACAAAGGCACATGTCACCTCTGGTGGAATTCACTAAATGCAAATGGCGGCGCACTATACAATACAGCAGACGTATAGTCTGCAAGCATAGACTTGCATCCGTTGATATGGATATAACAGCAACAGGCTCCAGAGCAGTCAGTCTGTAATTCTTCACACTCCCATGCACTCATAACACATGGGAGATTCAGTACATTACACTGGTGTGAGCTGCTGTATGGACATTTAGTGAGTTGTCCCATGACACTAGTACAATAATGACTTCAAAAAGAGAAATCTCAGAAAGGAGGCAGCATGTTTAATATAAACTACAAGTAATATTGTTGCAGATTTTAGTAGATTTAGCAACTGTATTACTTTATATAGGAAGCTAATATTTTACATGTAAATAAATCAATATACTGAAGAAATGTATCATATGCTAGAAAAATGCAAAAAAACTAAACAGCCAGGAATATAGAAATGTAGGCTGGTAAAAAAAGGTCTTTTGACAATGAAGGCTAAAATATAGTCAGGAATAAAGAAAAGCATTTACAGCTGAACTCCAGACAAACAACTACATCATAAAATGACATCCTGTATGTTGGAGCTCATATGTTGCTTTGCAATGCACTGGAAAGATGAAGCAGGTTTGATTTTTTGTGAAAGGGCTCTTAGAAATCTGTAAACTTAAAGGAGAACTATGAGGTGAGTGCTTTTCACTCACCTCATAGTTCTAGCCGACCTGTGACAATGAGACTGTCGCAGGTCGGCTCAGTAGATTGGGAGGTGAGCGAACACATACCAGGTTCGCTCACCTCTCCCCGCTTTTTTTTTTTACCGCGATTCACGGACTGAGGATCAGGTGAATATATCTTCTGTATTCTGGCCCCTAGATCAAATGAGCAGTTAACCTTTGTAGTGCGGGGGTAGCTCCACTACAAGGGGGTCATTTAAAAAAAAATAACGTAGTGTTCTTTAAGGAAACTTATACTGAGAGAAATATGGAGACTGCTTTTGCTGATCTCCTTAAGAAAATGCTATTTGCCTGGCTATCTCTGAGTAAGGCTAGCTATATACACTTGTAGACTTCTCTTATTGAGTCTGAGAAATCATTCTTATTTCCCCATTCACAATGAACAGTATGGATGGAGGAATCTGCACTGCTGGCTATTGTGCTTGGACAGGTGCCGGAACCTGCGGCTGCCTAAATACCAAAACAATGACTGCATCTGATAGGATGCAGTCAGTATTCGGCCAGCAATTTTTCCACCTGACTCCTTCAGTTTTAAAATAGACTTTTGTGGGTGGTGCTGTCAGGGCCACCCACGGCTTCAATTTCAGCGGATGCAACAGCTTGTGTCTATGGCTAGCTTTACTAATGTGGAACAAGCATTCTGCCAGTGAAGTCAGAGCAAAGTCAGAACCCATCATTGTAAACTTGGAAATGCAGCCAATGAGCTAGCATGACAGCCAAGAAATGTTCCCTTTTAATGTTCCCATTCATTCGCATTGTTCCCATGCTGTCTGTAAAATTTGTTGAGAAGCATAACAGAAATGTTTCTCAAGGGAAATAAATCTATTTATAGTGCACTGTAAACCAGAATGAAGTCAAATGTTTCTTCCAGAAGTGATTTTGACTGAATTGTGGTTTGTTTTGTTTTTACTTAATGATGACGTCTGAATTTGGAGCATAGACTGAAGGTTTCCTGCCAGCCCAGCACACAGCACACATCTACTGTACAGTGTATATGTGGACTTGTGCCTGTTATCTGCAACAAATATTCTCATGTATAATGTTTACATAGTGTGTGTTGTATGTCAAAGATAATTCCATGTTTTGCAGAAGGCAGAACAATTATAAAGCAATACTTCTTCAGAAAAGAAAAATGTGCATTTAATATTTTTGTTTTTTTGCATTGGAGCCAGTAAAGCATTGCAACTATGATCAGCAGATCATAAGTGCAATGCTCTGGCTGCTGCAGACTGTTCCTCCCATCCATGTCTGTAACAAGGTATAGACACGCAGTAACAGGGATGGGAGGAAGTGCCAATAGACTGCAATTACAGTGACATTACTGCACTTGTATTCCATTGATACTATAAGTCCCTCTGCCATGGTGGCTGATGGAACTTGTAGTTTCTCCATTCACAGATCCTGTCAAAGGGTTATGTGAATGGATGACGTGGCTGTGGGGGCAGAGCCACGCACAGCCACGTTGAAGTCAAGCACCAGCAGTAGCAGAAGAACCCCACGACTCAGGTAAGGTCTCTAACCCTGAATATGGGTGTACATTTTAAAACAGCACATTCAGTAGGGCTCATTCACACTGGTGTGATGCGCTCATTGCATGGTTCTGTGTGATTAATCCACCTACTGTACTTTAAGAGTGCAGAAGGTGCGTTGCGTCACCATTCATTTGAATGGCGCTCCAAACGCACCACCCACCCGCAGTGCACAGTGTTGCGGTACTGTGTGTTGCGTCATGATTGAGCGCATTGCAGGTGGGAGGTGCTTTTGGGGGTGCCATCAAATGAATGTCAATTCACCTCCCGCACTGTTAATATCATGTTAGGTGCATTGTGTTGTACAGTGCGTTAATCGCATGGAATCTGTGTCATTGATGTGTCACACCAGTGTTCATGGGCCCATACTTTGCAAAGTGAATTTTCATGTAAAATATTTCTAAACCCACAAGCACAAATATTACATATATTGGCTTACCATTTCTTTCACCCCACTCATAACGGTATAAATGGCTTGTTAAAGATTCCCTCTTTGGCTTCTAATGTAGACGATCTTCACAGTATATTCTCGTTTAATGTATATAATGTATGTGTACTTTTTTACCTGACAAAAGATTTGCACTGTAATTCTGTCCAGCCAGAGTTCAGCAATACAGCTTGATCAATTCCAATTCCAAGAGCCGCAATCCCTGTGCTTCTGCCTTTTGTATGCTTGGTTATCGAAATAAGTTGGCCACGCACTGTTATATTTTTTTTTAGTTCAACCTGCGGGCTGAACACAAAAATATAACAGATTATTTTATCCATTCTTAACAGCGTAGATGGACACATTTCCTGCTGTGTCCTTAGTATTCTGACAGCGTGCCGCTGTCGGAATACCAGAACAATGACAACAGCTGATTGGCTGCCATTACTGTTCAGCAACATTTTTTCCATCTGGTTCCTTCAAATTTCTGATCAAAGGGTGCCGGGCAGAAGGGACGGCGACTGTGCCACCCACTGAACAAATGTTGCCTGGTTCATGAAAACCATACAGGGTATGACCAGCTTTAGAATGACAGGAGTACACAAAGCAGAAGTGCTGACCTTCCTTCTCCTAGGAGACTCCTGCTGTACAGGGGATCACAGAAAGCTAATATAAACTAATAAGGGAGTTTCACTGGAGGCATTTACAATACATTTTTAATATATACATAAGGTATTATGTCTGAAACACGACTTGAAAAGCTTACTGGGTTATTCACAAAAGGGTGAAGAGTTTGGAGAAGGCAGGAGAAGTGAACCATCTAGGGGAACGTAGCTGAACTGGAAAGTGATCTGAATTGGAGAATTTTTCCAAATCAGCTATTTTGGCCTAGATTGTTCACTTCTGTCTTCTCCAAACTCTTCACTCTTTTGTGAATAACCCTGTTAGTCTGTGCAAATAACAAGTGGTTGTAGTAAATGTAAATCCATTTCTTGGGTCTCCAGTATCCTTAGCTTGCACATTAATGCACTTATTCTTCTAAATTCTAAAACAAAACTAGTATGTTCCACCTTTAATTGTTATAGTATGATACATGTTTCCTCCTGTTTTATACACAGATGTTGCTGTGGTGGACATGAGCGATGTAGGAAGACAACCCTCTCTTTTTTACCATCTTGGAGTTCGAGAAAGTTTTGACATGGCAAATAATGTTATTATTTATCATGATACAGACCCTGATACATCTTTATCCCTTAAGGTAAGAAATACTTCTTCATTAAACCTTATAGGCTAAATCATTTCACCGCCTGATCATTACCACACTTGACCATCCTAGGTCAGATTTCAACTATCTGGATGTTCACCACCTTTATCAAACTACCAGGATATACTGGGAACAGTACCAGCAGTCAAACAAGGAGCACATCCACAAGCTGTAGTGACTCCAGTCCAAACTAATTTTCCATCTAGACTATTTGGTATCTGTCAGCACTGACAGTTTGGGGAGGCCCATACAGTGTCTTTTCAGGCTGATTGGTATATGTCAGTACTGATGGTTTGAGAGAGCCCATGCCGGGTCAACCCAGGCCATTTGACATCTGTCAGCACTAAAGGTTGGACCAGATCATAGAGGGTTTCATTATCATTATATTAAAGTAAACCTGTCATGTCAATGGCGATATTGCTGATCTTCTTTCAGTAATGCTAGTTGACTGGCTTTTATGCTACCCTCCTAGTTTTAATAACCCCAAAAAAGTATTTAGTTCAGAAAGGTGGAGGTTGGCAGGTTTTATCATCCACTGGTATCTGAAAAGGTTGTTGTATTCAAGAGAGAAGATCTCAGATCTCCTCCTTCTTCCCTCATACAGTTGTGACATCTATTGCTCAACTTTAAAGCCCAGTTCCATTATTTGTTTAAATATAGAAGAATTTGCCAAGCTTGTGATAAAATAAAAAATGCATTTTTGCATAGCTTCTTCCCGAGGCTGTCACCTTCAAACACTTTGCTTTGCTCTATCATCCAGTTCTAATACTGTTTTAGGTGGAATGACATCCAGTGCCATTTTACCTACTTCATGTTAGCTCAAGCCATCATGGTTATCATTAGTCAGGTCTAGGCTCAGGTTACTGCTACACAAAATGGAGCTCATACATCACACATGGCTACTGTTCTTTCTAGCAGGTAGCAGTGCCTACCCCCGGGGCAAAAGAGAAAGAGGAACCAGTGAATCATGTGACCAGACATTATACAATTGGAAACAGTTATGTATACTAAAAGTTAAAATACATAAAATAAAATGGGGAGGGAGGTGCGAGGATGGGATGTGGCCAGATAACTATGGGTTTTTCAACCATGAGTTGAGATTTAAAATAGAAGTATGGCCTCTCATTAAAGAAATGTGTGCTGCAGTACTTAATTGTAAATGCATCTGCACTTAGTTCTCTTAGTCCCCATACAAACTCCCCCAAATACCTATTGATCTGCCAGTGAAGTCCACCTCATGTAGCTTCCTGTAAAGGGGGGACAATACTGCTGCTCTGATTTTCAAAGCAGCGTTGTCCCTTATGTAGACTGTGCCTGCTTGCACTACAGTGAGAATAGGATGTTGCAGACTTATGCTGATTCATAAGCCTGTATATTGTCGATTAGTAGCTGGCACCATCTAGCCATGCACGCTGCTTTTTGGACTGGCAGAACTGACTGTGTTGCTGAAACCTTACCATTGTAGGCTGCAGTGTCTGGGAGGGGAAGCATGTGAGACACAAATGCAGGAGGATTTGGCTGTCTCAAAATAGCTGGATCACATAGTAGCTGGATTTTAGACCTGTATAGACTTTAATACATGAGCTTTTAAATGTTCTTTAGGCCAGGGGTAGACAATGAATATGGAACTCGGGAGGCAGTTTGTCCAATCCAGGAACCAGTAGGAGTTTTTTAAGGACCAGCTCCACTGACTACAACTAGAAAAAACCTCGAAAGCCAGTTACCAGCTGTGATTCTTTTTTAAAGAAGCATGGACTACCAGATTCCTGGGACTTATACAGCCCTGCTTTAGGCTGAGTGGCGCTGTCACCTAACCGTACACATTTTCTGTTTGGCATTATGGAGAGATGAGTAGGAGCCAGGTGACAACACTAAATAGGCTAAAACTACTGGTGACACAGAAGGGTGGGGACAGGGCCACCGGGAGTTTATTGAGTGGATCTTCTCTCTGGAATCTTTCACTTTTTGGAAGCCAGTGGATAATAAAACCAAAAACTGTGAAATCTGCTTTCAGTATGCAGGAGGAATGCTAATTAGATGTCTTATTGTAGTTTAGTACTCTTTAGGAAGATCTGCTCTTAGCAGTAAGTCATTACTTAGGACATCGTAGAGTGAAGGAGACTGGAGCAATTGTCTACCACAATCAGTGTTATTTGCCCCTTCATTTTTCCAATTAAGCATGACAGAAATCAGAATATATGACCAAATTCATTTATTTAATGGTTCCTTTTTTAATTTTAGGATATGGTGGCTCAGAAGAACACTGTGAGTATTAAACATTTTTTATGTTTTATATATAAATGCACTATATAATATTTATTATTTTTCTATGTAATATGTGTTCTGTATTTGTATTCATGTAAGCATATTCATAATAATCAATACTACCTTCAGAGAATCCCTTGGTGACTATGGGGAAGATGATATCCAACTCTCCCTGGCTGACTCTTTAGGCCAAAGACCAATATACAAAGTGATGTAAACTCTAGCAACCAAATAGAATGAATTGCCTAATGATCTGAACAGAGGAAACTGAAATCAAGTTAATTGCAGTTAGGGCTGCACCGATACCATTTTTTCAAGACCGAGTAAAAGTACTGAAACTTTTCCTCAAGTACTCGCCGATACCAATTACCGAAACCTTATATTTAAGTGTCATGTGACAGTTTTTCTAAAACAATACAGACTAATGATTTTAGGACAGTGGTGGAGTGCCAGGGCCCAGTCACAGCTGCAAACACTGCAATCCTAGTAGTGCTGCCACTGACCCCAAGCTGTAAAGGGACTACACATCCCAGCAATACACTATACAGCAATTCCAAATGGCAACCAGCTATAAAGGACTACCGGAGGTTGTCGCAGGCAGCGGGGTTCCCCAGGAAGGAGGAGGAGGTTTGTGGCCAACGCTGTAAACAGATGCCGTGTGGTTCGCAGGAAGACTGCCGAGGTCCCCAGCAAACGTGGAACCTCAGTCAGCCAATTCAGTTTAAAAATGTAAAGCGCCAGTATTGGCGTTTACTATCGAGTACCCGTGAAAATGTCCAGTATTGTCTTCGATATTGGTATTGGTGCATCCCTAGTTGCAGTTGGTTTCTCTTTGTTGTACGTTATCTTTTTTTTCTTCTACTGCCTAAAGCTGGTGATATGCAGTTAGATATTTGTTGGTCAATTCAGACAATTTTACCAAGCAGCTAAAGAAGCTGCTTGAATGAGCAGCAAAAGGTCCTTCAACATTACAGAACAAGTCCAGTTAAAGGGGGACTAACTACTAAGATTTTTATACTTTTTATGTAGTATTTTATCCACACACACAAGTCTTGTGCCCCAGTCATTTTTAATAATGTAATCACATTTGTTGTGCAGACTTTAAAAATATCTTCAGCTGTTTTCTTCCAAGACAGAAATTCATGTCACTGATGTATTCAAAGCCACAAATTTCCTTTGGACTAATTGATTTAGTAATATCACTCCACGGACCTCTGTGTCATGTTACAATTACAATTTTTTACAACCATTCTCAGCCCAGCTCTAATTCTAGTTTAGTTCATGGTCACCTAAAAAGATTGAGCAGAGGTTACAATAACCTAAATGCTGTTTGGGATCTTTAACTATAGATAGCTGATTATTGAGTTACTACCAGAAAAATCAACAAGAATAATACCGTCAGGTAACAGTGCAATACATGTGCACTTACATTGAAGCATTAGCACCTCTTCAGCTACACACAGACTGAGGAATTCTTATCTGCCTCTTGACTTTCAAAAAAGAGGGTAACAGTGTTTTACCAGAGAAAACACTGTGAAAGAAGGTTATTAAATTGACCGAGACCTATGATTCATATCAAAATATAAACTTTATTGATTACAAAAATAATGTTTCCGGTGTCTGTTATTTCACTTCTCAAATTACTATTAAAAGAACAACGTTGTTCATGACACTCATACTCCCATTCATTCATGCAGACCAAGCGTTCCCACAAAACTTGGCAGTGTTTGATTTCCTGGTCGTTCCCTGAAGTGGGAATATCCTCAATATTATACCCGTTTCTACTCCATGATAAAGTTCCTGCTTAGCATTAATATAGGAGGTAATTTATTCATGCCTGAGGGGTCTCCAAATTCTTTTTCATCATATATGGTTGTTCTTGGTATACAGTCAATTTAAGGGGGAGACTAGTGCGGGACCTATTGATATTATATAGTTGTCTACCGTACTCACTTTTCGTCGTCTCTTACCCCTCTTGTCTTTTTAAGTCCGTGAGTTTATGTTTCAATTTTGACAGTCCTGTCTTCAGCGTATGTTTGTTCCGTAAGGGTACTTAATCTCACAGCTCTTCCACGGTTCTTAAGACGTATCCATGAACTTCCATTTGTAGATCCAAGAATGTCCCAAAAGGTAAGGTGCTTTCTCCGGCAGTTGTTTAATCTGTGGTGATTTCCAATTTCCTGGTCCTCAGATATTCTGCCAACACTCCAACGTTGCTCTTTGGGATTTTTGGCGACTCTAAGGCTTATAGATTTTCATTATTTCCATTCAGGAATCATGATTATCCGTCAGGTAACGCCATTTGTGTGGATACACTTAGCCTGTGTTACACACACTCAGAAGTGGACGCGTTTCGCTCCGCCCATCGGAGCTTCGTCAGCACCTCTTGACTTTACTGGTTTGGTTATGATGGAATTATCACCCATAGTATAACCAGGGGGCTGCAGGTGCTACAGTAATATGGGTTGTCCAAGGTTGAATACTGGCTGGAGTATAAGGATTCAGGATGTTGCACTTTGCAGCTCTAACAAAATGGAGAACGTGGTGAAGGTATTGATGACAAAACATTGCAAGGTGCTAAGGAGCATTGCTTATGTTTAATCTGCTTGGTATTTGTGGAATTTTGTGCAATAAAGTTTCAGTTATAAACACGTGAGGTGTCGTATTTTAAAAAAGAACCTGTCAAGATAGAGGTGAGGGTGCTGACAATTCTAACTTGCTTTTTAATGCCTAGTGAATCACTGACCTAGAACAAGTTAGCAGCCATTGATGAGTTGTAAATCCTGACCAGATATATGTGCACTAATTCAGTGAGAAGCTCTGCCTCTGGCATAAAGACCAATCACTGCTGTTCTCTCTCCTTGGGCAGGGCGACTGGTCTTGTATCCGTCCCCTCCTGTAGTTTTCTGCAGACAGCCTGTAATGGGTGGGACCTGCTGTGCCCCTCCCACAACTCTACTCTCTGTGCAGGCTATGTACAGCTCATTGATGATGTCACTGCTACATTTACAAGATAATATCTGCACTAACGTGGACTTGTGAATATCCCTCGTGGCTATTGAGGAATATATTCAAATTACATTTTATGTGGCCAGAGGTCAGCTATAATGCAGTTATCCATATAACCCAAATGGACTTTTAGTGCTTTTGTACAAGAGGCAGCTAGCTGAAGGAGACACCCGTAAACAGCCAGGGGGATCAGTGGTTTGGGAACCAGCTGCAGGAGGAGCTATAAAAAACATTTGTAACAAGAAGAATGTTCAAACAGTCTAATTGTGGACTTCCTCATCTTAAAAAAAACGGCAAAGGTTTAATATCACTCCTAGCAGGTTTTTATTGTGGGACTTTATTATTATTATTATTTTATTGTTGTTCTTTCCCCCTTTTTGAATATTGGGACTACCGTAGCCCTCCGCCAATCACTGGGGATCCTACCAGTCATTAAGGAGTCCTTAAAAATGAGGATTAATGGGCTAGTTATAACCTGGCTTAATTCCTTAATAGTATTACTATTTTATTGTGGGTAGTTATAATTATTATTATTACAGTTACTTATATAGCGCCGACAATTTACACAGCGCTTTATGTAGTTGCACATTCACATCCGCTTTAAACTGATCTCAAACTGACTATACATTAACCCTTACATGGGTGCCAAATGCAAATCCAGCATTTTCCCTCCAGCCAGATTACAACTCACATGGTTGTTCCCAGGCTCTCTTCTTCCTATCCTGATCGCTGATAATGGGTAATTTTATATTGCTTTTGAATTCTTAAGTGCTTGTTTACATCTATACTTTGGGAGTTTAAAAAAAAATGTCAATGGGAAATGGTCAACATATTACAATGTACTGTCAGTGCAAAACTATATTTTATGCAAGTTTGCCGACCTTAGACGGACTCATGCAACTCGCTATTTCCATCGACCGTCGCCTAAGGGAACGTCGCAGTGAAAGACTAACGGGAATACCCTGGACACCCCGTAGAACATCCACACTTCCACCTGTCGAACCCATGGAGGTAGGTATCATCAGGGGTCCCATTACCTCAGAGGAACGAGTGAGACGTCGCATGCAGAACCTCTGCATGTACTGTGCCTCCTCAGAACACCTCGTGGACGACTGCCCCTCTGTAAGGAGGAAGAATACCGGTAAGGATCCTCGTATTGCAAAAATTTCCTCGCCTCATCTAAAATCCACAAATTACCTCTATTTACCCTTATCCTTGCAGTGGGAACAAAAAAGAATACAGGTTAACGCCCTAGTGGACTCGGGCGCATGTGGGAACTTCATCGACAGACAACTTGTTTTCCATCATCAAATCCCCATATGCAAGAAAAAATGTCAATGGGAAATGGTCAACATATTACAATGTAATATACAGTGCAAAACTATATTTTATGCAAGTTGCATAGATGATTGTGTTTATTACTTGTTTCCGCACACAATTTCTTAAACAAGGAATAAACATATATACAACAATATATATATATATATATTAGTTTAAAGGAAACCTGTAGTGACTTAGTATGGAGGCTGCTGTTTCTGACCTGAGCTCAGCTGGAGATGTCCTCCACCAGCTATGCCTATGCCAGCTATGCCAGCTCCAGCAGTTCTGCGTTCCTCTCCAGTGAGCCAGAGGCCATGGCATATTGCGCATATGTGGCTTTTCAAGCACAATGCAGTTGCTCGATGTTCTGTGATGGAGGGCAGGTTCCATAAGGAGAATCTGTCACCTCCAAACACTATCACATAGGGACTTATTAATCCCTGTGTAATAGTAATAAAGTTAAGTGAAAAAAACAAACTGAAAAAAGTAAAAAAAAGTAAAAAAATAATCAAAAACTAAAAGTGATAAAAAGGTAAAAAATAATCAAATAAAACAATCAAAAATAATCAAATAAAAATTTACAGGGTTATTCACAAAGCTGCCGAAGTCAGCCGAGTGAATAACCCAGCCGAAGTGAAGTGAGTCGAACGCTGTTCGGCTATTCACTTCTG